ACAAAATTCAAAGAAAGTCATATTCCCAACGGCCATTTGTTTATTTCAACGTAAAGGCTTATATTGGTAGCCATTTGACATTGTGACCCAATAAAGATTCAGTTTCAAAGAAGATAGGTGGGTATGAGAAGATAGGTGGGTATGTTTTACCTTGACAACTCAAATCTCTCTCTCTCTCTCTCTGTTTTTATTTGTCTTGTTTTCTTGTGTGTTTGAGTGAGGTGGGTATGCTTCGGTTTGAAAGAAGAAAAAGGGGATGCGAGGGATGTTAAATGGTTTTTGAATGGTGTGCTTTTCAATGATGGATAACGTTGAACGGTTGAACAATTATTTATTTATGCTTGAAATGTCTAAGCCTTTGCCCTCTTGCCTTCGTGGGCGTGGGCTGGCGAGCCTATCAAGGCATGGGCCACTTCAACCCACATCACTTCTAGCTTGCATAGTTGCGAGCTAACCCATATTCACACCGTCAACTTTTATTACCGTCAATTTTTATTACTAGCTCTAATTATACATGTATAGGTATAGTAGATAATAAGTTTTAAAACCCTAGCAAATTAGGACTCGTAATTTGGAATTGGAAAGCATTCCTTGGGCTAGCCCATTTGTTTTTTTAATTGCAAAAAGCCCATTGATTTCATTAAATGGACTGGGTTGGGATAGCAGTGGCCCATTTCCATAAGAGCCAATTTAGGCTCAGCCTATCTGATCCGCAGGGTAAACCAGCAAGTTAATCCACTTGCTTAGATAGTTAGATGAGAGTAGTGGGTTAACGAAAAATAAAATAAAAAGAGAATTACAATAAGGTTCTAAATCAAGAAACATATTAAAAAAATTTTTTATAACAAGTGAGCAACTTGTAATAAAATAACAAGTTTCATAGCAACAACTGACAACATGTTTTAATTGCTCACTTCTCATTAGAACTTTTTAATAATTATTTTTCTTTTTTAAGATCTTACAGTAACTCTCCCTAAAATAGAATTATACATTTCTTGAAGCCTATTTTAAATTTATAAAAGTTGAGTTATACAAGTTAAAATTAAACGATTGAGTCTTAACGCATTTGGATCCTGTGGGAATCATGTTTCTCCTGTTCCTCTTAAAATCCCTTCCCTACATTTAGATCTAAAATTGGATAATTTACATGTAATATCGTATTAAATATTATCATAATATTATTAAAATATTAAAATGTTAACGGGTAGCATCATTAGTTTAATAGTCAATATTAGTTTTTTAACTATTATTGTTACGATTTGAAATCTTCAAGGTAAATTTTCACCTAAAACAATTCCAAATATCTAGTGCTTCCAAGTAAAATTTTTAGAGCAAATTTACACCTTAAACTATATAAAAAAAATAATCTACAAAATATTTTAATGATAATTTTATAATATATTTTTACTTCCGGTCCTTCATATAAAAGTTAATTTTATAATATCTTTTTTTTTCAAAGTAATATTTCTAATAGTTGCACATGATCAAATAATAGTTCTAGCTGATATATAAGATTAGTAAAGGTATTTAAAAAAAAAACAATATGTATTTATTATAATTAGGGTTAATTAATCTGCAAGTCCTTATAGTTTCAACGAATTTTGAATCAGGTTCCTATAGTTTTTTTTCTTTTTATTAGATCCTTATACTTTTACCTTTTTTTAATTAGGTCCTTGTATTTATTTTTCTTTTAATTAAGTCCTTATAATTTCATTAAATTTTTAATCAGGTCCATGTAGTTTTAATTTTTATTTATTAATTAAATATAAGCTTAATTAAATAGATTAATAATGAAATATAAAATATTAATAAGTAAATTAAATTAATAATTATGTAATAAAAAATAATAGAATTAATTAATTCAGGAAAATTTTTTAGAACAATTAATTTTTTTTGCTGAAAAAATTAAAATCATTATAATAATTCAATATTGTTAGAATATTATTGTTTATAAACTAATATTAAATAATATATACTATTTTATGTTTATATAATAGTACTATTAGAATTCATAAAATAAAGAATAAAAAATTCAGGGACTTAATTAAAAATAAAATGAACTTATAAGGACTTGATAAAAAGAAAAATAAATACAAGGACCTAATTAAAAACAAGTGAAAGTATAAGGATCTGATAAAAAGAAAAAAAACTATAAGGACCTAATTCAAAATTCGTTGAAACTATAAGGACTTGCGGATTAATTATCTCTTATAATTAAATAATTTTAAATTTTTTTAATCTATTTAAATTATTCAACTAATTAATCTACTCAAATTATTCAACTAACTCTTATATGAAGAATTGGAGATAATATATTGAATCATCTATTTTTTGATCTAAGGATGAAAAGAGAATTTTGAGAAGAAATGGAGAAAGAGGATCCTAAAAAGGATCCAAATCTAATTATAGGAGACAAGACATGATGACATAGAGAATCTCCAATCTCACAAAGAAAATAATAATATTTGATCAAATTATTGATTTCTTTTTTCGGCTAGAGAGATCAAATTATTGATTTGCTTTTAACACTATTATTACCCTGTGAGTTTCATAGAAAAGGCACTTTCGTGCTGAAGCTTTCTCTTCAGTTGAAATAGTAGTACCAAAATGCCAAAATTGACAAACGATAATTGCAAATGAGCCCATCGATATTATAATAATAATAATAATAATAATAATAATAATAATAATAATAATAATAATAATAATCGATTAGTTTTTTTTTTGAGCTGAAATAATAATTGATTAGTTAAGTTTCCTTGAAATTGCTTGGTTCTGCTTGCTTGCACTTATAGTTGTTTGGCTGTGCGCACTAGCCCTTTCAACCAGCTGGGATGACCTCTTAATCCTGTTTTCCTTATCTTTTTATTTTATTTTCCTTTTTGAATTGAAGAATAAAGATCACAATTTTAAATTTTTTCAAATTCGTTGAATTGGATCAAGAGACACGTTTTGACAAAAGTAATGTAAGGGTAACATTTTTGTCTTGCAGTAAAATCACTTTTCCATTATTAAATATGCTAGTTTTATTTTTTTAATCTTTTATTCTGATATATTATTTTATTTTGCCATATTGATTATTATGACTAAATCTATTTTGTTTATTTAGAAGAGTGTTATAAGCGAAATTAAATTTTCGATCTTGTATTTATATGAGAGCTTGCATTATGGAAAGTATTCTCAACTCTCTCTATCCTCCAACTTAAAAGGCTAGTTTCTGTAAGCTATTTTCATTAAAAAAATATTTATATTTTTAAACCACAATTTAAAAAAATTTATGACGTTTATTAAATAATTATGCTGGTCATCCATTCTAAAAATTGTTTAGAGCTTTGTATTAATTGTAAAAGGACACGAAATAGTTTAATTTTTGTTTTCTCAAATAAAATAAAATAAAATCTCACCCACAAAGAAAAGAATACAAGCTTCAACGCGTGCAATACTTTAACCAGAAGGGCGAGAATAAAGGCACGGAAGTGAGGAGGCAGATGGGCGTGGAAAGTTCGATGATTCGTTGATTACTGATGAATTGGATATGACCACGAGGTACCAGCTCACACGTTTCTTGTCTTGTTCTTCGTCGTCCCTATCTCATTCCCTATTTTATAGCTATTCCTTCTTTATAAAGCTCTTCTCTTGTCTATCACGTAATCTAATTCCTAATAAATATTTTCATAATAATCATTTATTTTTTGTGAAAATCCTGAAATGTGTAATGGTGACTATGACTGCCACCTAGTAAATCAATAATTAAAAACACTAATTTCTTTGATAAACTTTGTTTAGGGATAAAATCAAATCGTGGTTTTAAAAGTACTTTACAGTGTACGAAATAAATATGTGGAAGAGTTTGTCTCGTTTTGTGAAAAAATGCTTTTGAAAAGTATTTTTCTATCTTGCCAAACACCCCCTTATTGTTGTTATTAAAAATAAATTTAAAAAATGCACAATATCTCATTTAGATGATGAAAAATAGAGAGAATTATACCGAAAATATAAACTCATAAATTAAATTATTAAGATGTTCAAATTTGTCATTCACATAACACACATTTAGACATAAACTTATAAGTAAAAACGATATTTAATAATATTTACGCTTCAAAACAACACAAATTTTCAATTTACAATTAACAAAGAGAATAATAAGTATTTATCATTAGTGATTATGAATAAAAATTTGTGAATTTGATCCCTAGACATAATTCCACCTAGAGAATAAGGAGACACACTAAGAATATTAATAATGTTTCTGTTTAAATAAGATAATCCTTGAGTAGCTGCGTGGGCTAAAGTCAACTCTCAACACAAATAATTTAATATTCGTTCCTAATGATAATATATATGTTAATAAATTTCCAGAATCAAGATATAATAAATTGTACACATATCATTTTTATACATACAAATATTCAAGCTACACAAATACATTTCTTGACGCAATATCTTAAAAAAAAAAAACTTATATAAAGTTATTTATATTTATTATGTTAAGTTTTTCTAAATACAAATAGCACGTGACTTAATTTTTTTAAATATGAATTTATAATATAACAATAATATTTTTAAAATAGAATATATAGCTTTATGTGATTAAAAAACTAAATATAATAGATATAAAAACTTTGATCTTTTCTTATAATATTGAAATTTAAATCTTTTTATATTGAGGGTAATATACAATGATCTTTCCCCTTTGATAACGCGAGATAATTTTTTTATATTTGTTGCTCTTATTTTTTATTTTTTTCTTATCTAAACAAAAAAAGATTGTTATTTATAGCCGACTTTACTGTATTCTTTTAATCTATTCCACTACTTTTGCGGACCTAATTTCAGATTCTTGGCCTTTTTTATCACAAAGATTGCGTGGCTCAGAAAATCAGGGAAGGAACCAGAAATTATGATTACACTAAGGGCATTTTTGTACTTTCACTGTTACCAGCCGCACTATATAACCCCCTCATTCAGCCCTCTTCCCCCTTCATCATCCTGACTGCGCAATTGTGTTACGCGTTATCTTTGATTCTCTCTAACATCTCGTGTCTCCTGGCGATTGAGGTTCTTCTGTTCGTCGTTTGATTTTTGTTCTCGGTCTCTCGAATTTTGATTCAGCGTAAGTGCATTGGTAATTGCTTGTTTATTCTCTTTCCGAATTCTTGCGCCGATTTTCTTGTTGATTGCTCTCTGTTTTTGTTCTAGGTTAATTCATTCGGATTCTGAAGTCTGATTTCTGGGAAAGGGGATACTAGAGAAGGTTCCTTTGTTCAAAGATTCTTTATAACAGTAAGTATGCGATTTTATGAGTTATTACGCCATTAAAAACTGATTAGTTGCATGCCTTCGTTCATCGCGTGTATCTTTCACATACTACCATATAATTTGTATTTGAAGATATGATTTTTCGTTTAATATGATGATTTGAGGAAATCTTGATGCCTTATATGATTTGTGTTGCTATTATTTTGGCTTCTTCTTTTACGTTTTATATTTGCTATCTGATTATGACATTAGGATCTTATACCCTCTATTGTGGGGATGCCGATTTACGATTTCAAATTATCGATCGAGAAACGAAATAAATTTTAATGAGTTGCAAGAATTATATTCTCAGCAAGTGGTTGATACGTTTTTATCATTATTTGACACTTGCAAGGTGTTTTCACTTTATTAACTATGCTTTTATTATGTTTGTGATCATAAATTAGATTTATAAGTCATTATATTAAAAAATTTAACAAATATTTCCAAAAATTCAGTGACCGTGATGAAATCAAAATTTTCATAGCATGTAAGCTTCAATTATAGATTCTTAAATTATAGTGACCAAAATAAAGTTTTCTGAAGACCCTTGGGTCTCATTTGGTATGAAGCATTGAAAATGAGCGATTGAGATTGGGATTGCAATTGAAAAAAATTATTAAAATAATATTTAGTATGAGTAATTACTTATTATATGGGATTAGGCAAACCCATAGAGGTGGGATTGGAGAATAACACTTTCCTCATGGCATTCTCTAATTCCACATACATGGGTTTGGCTAATCCCATATAACAAATAATCTCTTATACTAAACACTCTTTTAATAGATTTTCTCAATTGTAATCCTAATTCTAATCCCTTATTTTCAATATTTCCTACCAACCTTGAAGTTTAGAGGACTGAAAGTAATTGGTTTTCAATATTGTAAAAGTAGTGTTCTGTTGGCAATCTTGCTATTGTTTTGTGGAGATATGACAAATTCTGCTTTTTCATACTGTGTATTTAATTTCTATTTGTAGATAGAAGTTAGATTAACATTTGTTTTCTGACAAATTTGCGCCTGTCTTTGTTTATTCGTTTGTAAAGAAAGTGACTGTCATTTTTGTTTCTTATGATCATGAAATGTTAGTTTTGCATTGTTTTCTTATTGGATGAGACTATTGCTTCCCGTTATTGTCTTGTTCACGTATTGTGTGGCTAGAACATTGTTCTTCTATTTTCTGATACAGTGAATTTCAATTTTGTTATTCTTTTCTACCTGAAAATGGTGATCTTGCATTCAAATTCTGGCAGCTGAGCTGAATGAACTCCATGAACTATAATTGTTATTAAGTTTGTGGTTTATTGTTTTTTGCAGCATATTGTGAATGAACTGATGGAGACTAAAGGTGGGAAAAAGAAGTCTAGCAGTAGTAAATCATTATTCTACGAAGCTCCTCTCGGCTACACCATTGAAGACCTTCGACCAAACGGTGGAATCAAGAAGTTCAGATCAGCTGCTTACTCCAACGTAAGTCCCCTGTTTAATTCTTCCGATAATTGGAGATAATTATTGCAAGAATGATTTTCTGGTGTCTTACATGGTGTTTTTTCTTGTGCAGTGCGTTCGAAAGCCATCCTGAGGTTTCCTTCCTTGCTTGCTACATAACCCCTAGCTTTTTTATACAGTGATAGTAGTTTACCCTCCACATTCTCCGTCTCCTTTTCATTCTCCTCCTTGTTCTCCTTGTTCGGTTGTGCTCTGTCAGTGCAACAATACTTTCTCCCTGATAGTCAAGATGGCCTTGACAGGCTCTGCTATTGGTTTTGAGGGCTATGAAAAGAGGCTTGAGATATCATTCTTTGAGCCTGGTCTGTTTTCTGATCCTGATGGTTTAGGCCTTCGATCATTGTCCAAGGATCAATTGGATGAGATTCTGAAACCAGCTGAGTGCACCATTGTTGACTCACTGTCCAATGACTTTGTTGATTCCTACGTTCTCTCTGAATCCAGCTTATTTGTCTATCCTTACAAGGTTATCATCAAAACTTGCGGCACTACAAAGTTGCTTCTGTCCATCCCGGTCATTCTGAAGCTGGCTGATAGTCTTATGCTTGCTGTGAAATCTGTGAGATACACTCGTGGAAGCTTTATTTTTCCTGCGGCCCAACCATTCCCACATCGTAGTTTCTCTGAGGAAGTTGCTGTTCTTGACGGTTATTTTGGCAACCTTGGTTCTGGCAGCAAAGCATACATGATGGGCAACCCTGAAAAGTCACAATTATGGCATATCTACTCTGCTAGTGCGGACCTGCAAGGCCAATCAAAAGCAACTTACACCCTGGAGATGTGCATGACTGGCTTACAGAAGAAAAGTGCTTCTGTATTCTTCAAAGCAAACACAAATTCAGCATCCTCAATGACCGAAGACTCTGGAATCCGAAAGATCCTTCCTCAATCTGACATATGTGACTATGAATTTGATCCCTGTGGGTATTCCATGAACGCAATAGAAGACAATGCAATCTCCACCATCCATGTCACCCCAGAAGATGGCTTCAGCTATGCAAGCTTTGAAGCAGTGGGGTATGATTTTGATGAAAAATCTCTGATAGGTCTCGTTGGAAGGGTCTTGGCATGCTTCGAGCCGGCTGAGTTTTCTCTGGCTTTGCACACTGATATGCATGATGAAGCACTGATCAACAAATTCCCCCTGGCCATTAAAGGATACGACTGTGGAGAGAAGAACAAGGAGGTTCTTGGAGCAGGCGGTTCCGTTTTGTTCTATGACTTTGTTCAAGCTGATGGCTGTGCATCTCCAAGGTCCATTCTGAAAAGCTGTTGGAGTAGTGAGGACGAGAAGGAAGAAGGGGACGAGATATAGTTTGTGGATTTTAATGATTTATTTGTGTGTTTATGTTTGCTGATTCTGAATAAGTTTGGGGTTATGGTTTGAGTACAGGGCAACATATACTATATATACATATGTTGCTCTTTAACTTTTCATAATTGGTTGCTCAAGTTTGTTTTTGTTTCTTTCAAGTGTGTTATTCTGGGCTTGTGCCCCTTTCATGGGGTTGGACCATGCTCTTCGTATTCATATGAATAAAGTGTTTTGTTTTAGCCTCGTTGTGATGGGTCCTCCGTATCCATGCTGAGGGTTTGTTTGATAAATGGTTTCAAATGTAATGAAATAAAAAAGCAAAGATAAATTTTTCACAATTAATTATAAAAATATAAATAGCACTAAATTATTGATTTTGAAGCCCAACATTAAATAATTAATTGATAATTTGATATAGTCGGAAGTAGAAGACTAGTGATGAACTTATCTTTAAGGACTAAAGATAAGGTTGACTCATCAGGAATCTGCTTTTAGCATAAACATGATTACTTTAGTGGTGTGCTTTCACTTTATGTCAGGTACTAAATTAATGACATTGATGCTAAAAGCAGATTTCTGATGAGTCAGCTTTATCTTTAGTTTTGAGGACAGATGATCCAGTTTAGATCAATCCTATGAAGGACTTATTTTGGCATGTAGCATTTTTCGTCTTATTCAAAACTTCTTCAGTAGGAGAAAGTGGTTTGTAAGTACCTTGAGGGTTACTTCTGTCGAGGCAACATAAGGTCGAGAAGAGATCTTAGTATTTTCATTGTATCGATGTTCAAGCGCTGGAAATTCTTCTTCATAAGTATTATCTCCGTCCTTAATATAAGACCCTGTTTGACTTTTTGTTTGGTCCTAATTATAAGATCCCAATCCATTTTGTCTCTCATATTTATGCATTTTTTCCAAGATAATCCTTCTAACAATGATAATTCTAGCCAATACACTTAATTAGCAAGGATATTTTAGGAATGACAACACTTATTTATTACAAAAAACTAACTTAACTTACTTCTTTAATCTCCTCAAATAAGTCAACTGGGTCTTATAATTAGGACCGGAAGTAGTATTAGATTGTATCATTCCTATATATGGGTAGGATAATATGAGAAGCTACGGAAGTTTCTGGCTTGGTGTCTGGAAAAATATTAGCTGCTACATCATCATGTGCTATGTCATCATGACCCCATTCTCTCAGAAGTTCCCAAATAGTCAAATCTCTGGTGGGAGCTTCACGAATAGGTCTGCTGATCGATAATTATGGAGCCTCATCATCCCTGTCATTTCTTCATGACCGTTGCGCAACACAAGTGGTCTGAACTTTTTTCTTTTTCTTTCTAGACTTTTGTCTAGAACTGAAATCTACAAGATCATCCTCATCTGAGTTGTACTGGAAATCATGGTACAGTCACAGTCTGGTTTACACATACTTGGATCAAGATCCTAAATGAAATGTCCATAAATATGAGACACAAAAACAAGTTGTCCTTGAACTGTAAAATAATCAACTGTAGGATATTCATTATTCTCATAGATAGGAAGAATGGTAGCGATTGTCCTTGTTGGAGGAAGGGATCCTTCTGTTCCTGGTCGTTGGAAGACAGTTTTAACTGTCCCATCAAGCAATCTTTTGATAAGTTGAGGAGCTGTAGTATGAACATTTGCCGGAACAGAATGAGACTCTTTCTCATAATTGTTGGTCCATTCAAGTGGCATGAGCTAAGAGAGTTCTTTTGTAGAGATCTTGTAACATCCAAAATATTATTGGAAAAAATTATTATTTGAAAAAAATATATTAATTAAATAATATAAAAAAAATTTTATTATAAAATAATAATTTTATTATTAAAAAAACATTAAGCTTTTCCACCTAATTCTGAGTGTATTGAAGGTGAAGAAGAAACTGGGGGATGGTGCATTAATGAAGGAAGAAAAATAAGAGAAGTGTATTAATGAAAGAAGGAAAATGGGGAAGGCGGTTGAAAGTAGAAGGATAAATGGAGGAAAGGTGACATCAGAAAATGGAAAGAGAGAGTGAGAGGCGTGGAAGGAGAGGGAGGTAGAGAAGTATTAGTATTTTGAAAGATAATACAAGTTTGGAAGATCATTTAGATACATTAAAAAAACTCTTTTTTATTAATTTTTTATCAATATTTTTCTATATTTAGAGCTTTATATTAGTAGTATCATTATAATATTTAGGGAAAATTCCGTGATTAGTATATAGAATAAGTACTGAGTTTTGACAAGGATGATCATAAAAATTTAGAGATAAATAAGTAGTTAGTTTTAATTGATTTAGATTTGTCTATTTATTACTTATGGTATTTAAAATTAAATTTATTTTGTTGACAAATCTGTCATTATGATATATATCATATTTATACCAATTAAAATTAAGTTAAATAATTTATTTGGGTTGTTTGATATATTATTAAAATTTTAATTGGTTTATATTATTCATTGATTGTTTTGAGAACTTTAAACTAAGATTTTAGTTGAAAAATGTATTATTCAAGGCATATAGAATATTTTTACCAATTAAATTTAAGCTAACTAACTTATTTAGATTATTTAATATATTATTAAGATTTTAATCGATTTAAAATGTATTAGAATATGAAAATATTTTTGAATATATTATTAGAAAGTATGCTGTAAATTGAGATTTTTACAATGTTAGATAAAAATGATATTTTTATAATTTAAAGGAGTTATTTGGGTAGAGGAAAAAATTGTTATTTGAAGTAAGAATTTTTGGATAGTAAATATATGTATATATACTATTCTATGTAATTTAAGTTAATTATTTGTGTATATATTAAATTATATCTACATTATTTGTAGATTATCTTATACTTCAGAGTTTATAATTTGTGCTCTTATTTCTTAAGCTGTGAGGTTAAGCTTGGAATAGAGGTAACTGTGATTAATTTATTTTACATACATGCTTCGGATTGTAAGATGTTTATTATGTTTTTATTTTTTCAAATTAATTTGTGAAAGTATGCTTGTGAATGAAGTATGTATTTTTTTTTATGTGACAAATTTTGGTGAAGTGGGAAGTATGTTGATTTAATTATGCCTGAGTTGTGTTTTATTGGAAATGATGTTTTCTTGTGGTGTGAATTTAATATACTAATATTATGTTATTAAATAAAATGAAAATATGTTGTACTTTGTTTGAACTTATATCATCTTACTCTGAAAAACTATGATATTTTTAATATATATTGTGACCATGCATGGGGTTCACATGTGGAGATTGAGATTTTGATATGTGGAGGATAATTGTTTCGAAGTCAGTGTAGCATGCCTACACTACTGATCCTAGTGTTTGGCTTTTTGTTAGACCCTTGTAATTCTTTCTTTTCCTTGGCCCGGAATTGAGAATGAGCTCTTGGGTAGACACATTTTGCACCATAGTCCATTCTTGGACGGTATAGGTACAGGAGGGATTTGCTGCTTGATATGAGTGGGGTGACCTTTGCCGAGTTACTCAGCACAGAAAGCCCGAGTCCTTGTCAAGGAGCCATAAAGAGGAGTATGGTGATGGGAGGGCATACCTCATTGTGTTATTGCATATATGTACTTTTGTATAAATTGTGTTGTGGATGGTGAGACATGCTCCTTTCACGTGGTTGTATCTCCTAAGGCATTATTTATTACTTGAATTATATTTAATTACTACTTCACCAACTTGCCATCCTACTTATATATGCCATGAATTAATACTTGGTTACTAGGACTTTATGTCTCACCCTACTATTCATCAATGCTTTTTAAGAGAGCCATCTAGTTTGGCTTGGTGCGATGGGAAGCAACTAGAGGCATAGGCGAGTATAGCTTAGTAGTCCTCTTTTGGTTTGGGCATGTGATGCTATGTATATTGCCATTTAAGACCCATGACTTTGTTGACATATACTTCCTTTTGTTTGGTTGTTGGATCACTATATTTGATGGAGTGCTGTTAGAATGTTTGGAGGCTGTAAGACTGTGCTGTATGTGTTACTCTTTATGTGTATGACTTGTGGGCCGGGTTGAGTACCCTGTGTTTCTTAGGTCTTAAGTTTTTGTGGGATGAATATTATATTGTGCTTGTGGACGGTTACTGTGCCCTCAGTCCTTGTTCTACATATTGTTAAACTCATGGGTGGTTTATGTATCTTGAGCCTCTTGGGATGTTTTCAAAATAAGACAAACTCTTTATAATCATGGTAGTATTTTAACGCTCTAACTCAATTCTTTTTCTACAATGGCTATCATTTTAAAATAATTTTATAACTATGTATTAAGAAAAGGTCTTTTCAGATTTGCCTTGGGATGTTGATGATAGCTGGACCATAGTCTCTGTCAGTGGACATATATAGGGTATCTTGGGTAGAATTAGGGATATGAAGATTTAGAGAGTGATTTTGTACTCTATACACCATTCGATGATGAAGAGTGGCCATAATAGCTAGGGGATCCTGTTCAGCTCCAATGATCTGGATTTGAACTTTCAATCTCTAGGAAGTCGTTTGATTAGAGAGCATAAAGTTAAAGTTTGGAGCAATGGTCATAATAATACTGCCATTACTGAGTGTAGTGAGAAGGGTTCCTATTAAGGCATTTTGGTAGGATTTATAAGAAGTGTCCAAGAGGGCTACTCTTACAGTGGCAAGGATACCTTTTCTTCCATGTAGGGTAAGACCAAAATGTACTGCACCTATATATAGATGTGTATATCCTTACTCTATGTATAAATCAATAATGGGTTGAGGTATCTCAAGGGTGACATACTGTTTAGATGTAGTTGTAGGAAGACCACATTGGTTGAGACAGGAACTTTGAACAAGTTCTTTGACAGTAGGAGTAAATTTGGTCACAAGAGATATGATGGGTCCGGTAAAAGATCTTTGACGATGATAGAGGGAGTAAGGACTGATGAGGGTAGTTCCGTGGATTGGATGCAGGCATCTTGTGGTACATGGGTAATTTCTATGACTTTATCAACCTTATTGTTGAGTATTTGGTGAAGCGAAGAAGGAATGAGGTCAAAAGTAAGAGATGAAGAAAGATGAATAGGTTCTGCAGAGGAGGATTCACTCATGATTAAAATATTCTTTCTTACTCACTT